TAGTCAGTTGGAAGCGTCAAATCAAACGTATCACTTTATGCTTCTTGATAGTGCTCTCAGATAAGTATCGGAGGTGTTAATGAAGGCGTAGGACAAAGTCATATGTTACGTATATGCTCTTCATGGTATATCACGAGTGTGCTGAAAAAGACGGGGGGAAATAGAAGGAAGGAAAGTAGAACAGACGACTTGCATAATCACCAAATTTGAGCCATTTGTGATGGAATATTTAAGATATGACTACTTAAAAATATGACCTCTAGTTAAGTCAACAATTGGGCAAGTGCATTTCAACGGGTTAAAAAAACCAAAAGTGTAAAAACGAATCGACGCAAGAGAGAAAGCTGAAGATTTGGTATTCTCTGTTTGTGACGATTTCTATGGCACTATTATTGTAACTTTTACACAGTTATGAGTGGTTTCATATTTACCTGAAGTAAAATTTTTCGGTAGAAAGTGAAATTATTCAAAGTTTCAAACGCGAGTCAAAGAGGAGTTTAGCATGGGAAATTGACATCGATACCATTGGCTAGTTACATCCAACTAGACTAAAAGGAGCCGTACGTTTACAAAATGTTCTACGCTGAAGACTTGGGTATATTGAGGCTATCTCAACAATATCATGTCTGTTGGTCAGCGACGCCACTCTCCTTTTTTTGGTGTTTGGTTCTTTTACATTTGTGGCATGTTTGAAAATTTATTAATTTATGTTTCACACCTTTATTGTAACACAGCATCTCTACTAGTTCCGTGTTTCGTGTAAATCAGACGGCTGAGGCTTATATATCATGGATTAAGTATCCATTTATTATATCACAATGCTGTGAAGTTAACTAATAATAATAATTTTAAGATACTGGTCAGATGATATGTAGTTAAGCGTTGGTAAGAATAGATTTATGGTTAAAGAATATGAAAGTAAAATTGTTTGGGGTCGTGAAATTTATGAGTAAGGCGGCAAATAAGTAAGAAAACAAAACAGCTGAATACTAATAGGTTTGAAATATTATTTTTTTGTGCTGAGAGAACATAAAAAAGGAAGAAATCACAATTTAGGTTGGTGTGAACTTACTATGTTCAACCGTAGTCGAGCAGCATCTAATAGAAATAGAAACTAAAAAGGGACATAGGACTTTGTAGAATTATGGTCTAGTTTGTTATTAGTACTGCTATAATGATAGACCTAAGTGTAAAAGTACAGATTTGTCATGATGTGAACATTTAATCTACAATGCCTTACGTGGAAGACACATCATTGTCTATTGTGACTCGTTGTACTGTAACAATTAGCAATATAATGTTTGGCGTTTACAAAAAAACACATCTAGACTGGAGATAAAACAGTATATTTAATATGAATAAAAGAGATAAGTTAGGCAAGAATGACCACGCCTGCAAAGCTGAGCCATGCCATCAGATTCAGTGAATGAATTGCTCCCACCTCGATTGTTGGCTTTCTATCATGAAAGAATTATGTGGCTCTAAACATTGGTGAAATATCGAGTATGAATTTAAGGAGTAGGAGCATAAGGGGATGACTAATAATGAATAATGGAAGGAGGGAAACCATGTGTTTTATCATCCGGTCACACATATATGAATGAAAATGGGGTCCGTTATATTCACATTTGGTCTAGACAATAGGTGATTCATAGAAAGTGCCTCAGGGCTGGGTAAAATTATGATAATAGTTGGTGAAGCCCTTTAGAATCTAAAAACAGGGTTATTAGTCCTTAGAACTCGGAGATAGTGTTACGGATGCAGATAGGTATTGGTAGCCTGTTGCACAATAAACTATACCACATTGCAAAAACTTTCTACGCATTGGTTTCCGGTGTTTCAAAGTTAGTAGCGTATACTCATTGCCATTGAGTCTATAGGACGGGATATTATTTCGTAGAAAGATATAGGATTGTTCCTTAGCCGGCGGCGCCATAAAGGTTCCAAGGGGAGGTCCGTTTATATAGCTGTGTAGTCAAGAACGAAGTAACATCTTAGCGGTCTACTTGTGAAGCCTGTTTGAACATCCAATTGCATCTCGTCTAAGATATCCATGTTTGGAAACACAGATAAGTAGTACTCAGGGGAAGTCGTATATGTATTTTGAAAAGGTTAAGGTTAGCCTCCATAGTGAAGCTGCAATATAGTCCACAACTTATTTCACGATTTTACGGTGTGGTTCATCCTCTTATAATGATTTTTCCGCGTCTGAAGTGATAAAGGCCTTTAGTATGCGGTCCAGATAAATACCACTGTGAGTAACCGATTACATGGCTTGTATTTGGGTCTAGTTTTATGTATGGAAAAGGTTCCTAGGTGAAAACTTTCCCGAAATAGTTCACCATAGCCTGCTTTGTCTCGGTTTTCCTCTGTCATCTGTGACATACTTCCTTCCGTAACTAGGTTGGGAATCCAATAATTATTTTTTGTTACGTAATTTATGGCTCTTCGGCTGCTTGACCAGGGTTTAAGTTTAGTTAGGAGGGATTCATCTATAACACATTCTGGACTGTAGTAGACAACAGTTAATTAAATGTCTTGTTCTGTACATTATAGTCAACAGTGCACCGGCTGGCACGTCCCTTAGTCGTATGCCACTGTTTCAACAGCCCGTATGGTCAAGGGGCTTCTCGTGTGCAGAATAACCCTTTTGTGCTGAAGGGCAAACCTCGTTTTATCGATAGAAGAAATCAGACTGTTGTTGAATAAATTTTTATTTCGATCATGGAACAGAACAGTCAGGACGTGGAGATATTTCTTTCAAACGCAAGAAGATTTTTCGCATTCAATATAAAATAGGATATATAATGCCTACACTGGATAAGGAGGTGTGTGAATACTTGGGCCATAATGTTTTGACATTCTAAGATGTCTGATGCCTAATCTTAACTATTTATTTGTTGCGATTCCACCACTCACATGGTCTAGTCTGTCATCCCTACAAAGTTAGAAACCGAGCAATTGAACTTCATTTTCATACAGTTCAGATGTTAACCCTGTTTCTTAGATGGCAGTGACACTTAGGGTTTTCTGTGTCCACCATAGTTTGGAGGCCAGCCATTTTACTTGGTAGGCTGCTGGCATTTGTATAGCATACATTTAATTCTGCCAAAAACGTTTCCGTACCGCTCAGAGTGGTCTCGGAATTGCTTTGCTTCAAACTTCTACGATGTGAAAACCCATAAATATAAGGTTCTTCCCTATTCCGGCGGTACTCATATATATTCCAGACCCACTCAATTTGCGTGAGTTTTCCAGTATTAGGTCTCATTCTTCAGCGGAAGTAAAAGTAACTTTTAAGATGCAATTTACTTGCGTACATTTGAAGTCCGCCTTCGTCTTGTTTCACAAAGCTTATGAGTGCTGCCACCTTCTACCGTTTCTAGAAGTAGCTTGCTAACTGAGGACCTAATGTAGCTTAGATTGATTCCTCTCTTAACTTATGAAAGTTGACTGGCCTATTTGGCAAAAAATGTGCGGGTCTCATCTTTTTGCTTTAACTGTTCAAGTGCTAATGTAAGCCAATCAGTGATCTTATTTTGTTTATTGGTTCGACCTTCTTCACCGCGTTCCTTCCGGATATTCTGTTTTGTGCTTATATTAAAATCTGCATCTGAAACTGTCAACTCATCTATTTTAGATTTCTCAGTACTTTGCTTCTCCTTAGCATACTTTTTCCTTTCTCTTGTAACCGTGCTCACATCCATGTTTTTATCGTCTACTACGCTTTGAGAGTCCGTCATAATAGTTTTATTCAGACCTAAAGGCAGGCTCATATTGACACACCGTGCTTCCTCTAAATCTGACATTTGCTCATCTGCTGGTTGCTTATCTGAGGACATCATTCTTTCTGTAGTTAGTTGCCCGATCGCCTCGGCAACCGGAAAAGACCTCGTACAGCAGCATCCTTTGCGCAACCAAAATTACAGTGGCTTGAAACGTGTTTTATATGCAGCTGATGTGAATTTGGTGTACACGTCGTAGCTGTCACAATCCATTCCATCTTTGGTCGAAAAGCAACATGAAGGTCTATTACAACTAGGTTTTTCTGAGCCATTAGGTGAGCCATAGAGAGCACAACGCAAAAGTCTCTTTACGCGCGAAGAGAACAGATTTTTAGAGTTATAGTTTTCGAAGCTCTTAAAATGATAGACAATAAACACAAAAAGCTGGAACTTCTGTATTACTGTAGCGAAAACCCAACTTAAGTAAGTAAAGAAAGCGTTTACACCTTAGTGCATGATCAAAACTAAAAGATTTACTCTACGAGCAAAAATACCACTACCCTTTTGGTATAGCGCGCCCAGTTACAATATTTTTGACCATGTATGACCAGCTAAGCAGCTTTTAAGTAAGAAGACAAAAGCTGGTTTAGCACTCATATTGAAAACCATATTCAAAATGTTACATATCAGATTCATTGGAAACTTGAAAATATTGAGGCCAAATGTGTTTAACTTGTAAAAATGCCACAAGTATTTGAAGTTTGACAACAGCTTAGCCAGTAACATCTTTTATAAACGGACCGTGCCAACGCAGTGAAATCGGAAGTCAGAAGCCAAGGCGCTTGATTATATATTCGATAGAACACCGATATGTTGAGAAGCGGATAACTTAAGCTGGCTAGTGGTTGTAGGAAACGTGAGGCACGGCGTACTCACTCATGGTCTGGTGCGGATGCATGACTGAGTTCCTTCAGCTAGGTCCATTAAAACTAATGCAGTCAGCATCAATTATCGAGGACTTGCAGAGCTACTGATTTTAAGGATCACTCAACTACCCACTAGTGGGGTAGTAGTGACCCTAAGAAGTGGCCAGTCAGAAGTTTATTTATATACCGCTACACATTGAATAAAAAACATTTAAATCTGCTGATTAACATGAATACATGAATGCAACATAGACACTGGCCTATACTAGGTTGCAATTACTAACCAGTTAAAGTACCATCTGCACTCAAATACGACAGGACTTGACAATGTTGGTTTTTTGAGTATCTTATGGTAAAATACCTCAGTAGTGACATAAAAGAGCTAATGATAGTTGGTACGAACAGTGAATTTGTTTCGTATGTAGACGTGATGTTTTTATCTTCCTTAAATTTTGGCTGTATCTTTGACACTAAGTATATACTAATTAAAAATCTTATTTTCAATGGTTAAGATCATGATCGTATACCGTTGTATACGAGGGATGTAAGGATCCCAAGGTCGTCCACTTTGCTGAAGGTGGATAGGGTGTTTGACTTTATATGTATTTGGGTTTAGTATAATGGTTTGTCATGGTAGTTTTACTTCGAACTTAACTGTGTTCGCGTAAACTAGATAATTTATGACTAAAAAGCGTCTCTGTTTGCCCTACAATCCCAAGCTGCCAATTCTGGGGAAAATTCGGCTCATTTTGGGGAAGCCGCTATAGTAAATTTTGGGGAAATGAGACCCAAACCTCAAACTTTCTCCGAAATTCCATTCTAACCTTGATCAAGTTCAGTTGACTTTTAAGATTTCCCCAAAATTTCCCTAAACGTCGGTGAAGGTCATTTGACTTCGGGAGTTTCCCCAAAGTTCCCCAAAATTGGAAGCTCGGGATTGGAACTAAATGTGGTGAATTATTCCCGAATCAACCAACAAAGTGGAAATAAAGGCGAACAAAGGGGAAAATGCGTTGGAAAATACAGAGGATATAAGAGGGAAATGCGCTAAAATATCTGCTTTTCCCCCTGTCCGGGGGAAATAATGCAGATTTTCCCCTTTTTGGTGCTCTGTCTCTCAAATGTCACTGAATCGTCTACTTTTCGCTTAAATATATGCTGAATTGTCTATTTTTCGCCCAAATATACGCAGAATCCTCTACTTTTGCTTCGACGTTTAAAACGCCCCAAAGGTTTCCTATATTCGCCTTTATTCCCACAACACACCACACTGAAACTGCAACCCACGTGAAAAATAGTATATGTTTAAATAAGTTTATTGAAAAGAAAAAGCGTATTATTATAATACAATATTATGGCAGAAGCTTGAGCATCAATCGTTATGCAATTTAACTGTACTTGCCGATTCATTGTTATTTGAAAAGATCTACTAAAGAAGAAACAGGTGATGTATTATTAATAAGGCATGTATACTTTATTGCAAGTTCACTAAAAATCAAACAAACTTTCTAAACACTTGAATAAAGTTTACCATGAAAGTAAGAAAGTAAGCTCGTTTAAAAAAATGCTTTTAAAAAAATAAGTTGAACATAAGAAATATTCCATGGATTATTTCTTCTAGCCACGCCTGTCCGGCTACTGAAAATCAAAATGATCTTGTGAATTCTGGAGTATAAAAAAAGAAGTTACAATATCTGAGTGACATGCTTTGGCACAGCTAGCTACTTGAAGCTTCACTTATGTTCGTTAACACTGTCGACTGTACCTACAGAGCAGTAGGAGAGTTATCACTTTAAATTATTACATACCTGTTCTTGTTTCCTTCTATTACGCTTTATTAATTTGTCTCTGACAACGTGGAAATAACCTTGTGTTGCGATGTCGTACAGTTCCGCAAGGCTTTTTTCGTTGACAGATGATGACAAAAAGCAATTGGTTAATGCACCTAAAGTATAAATAATAGATATAGGTTACTTCGTATGCTCGTTTTGACGAAGTGCCAGGTAGCGTGAAATTACTGGCAACCTCAGGTGTCATGAGGTACGACAAAACATATCGCATTGAGGTTTTAGGATCATTATCCATTAACCTCGTTAACATGGCCATCTTTAGTATGAACAAATTATAAAATTAATGTTTTTGACTTATAAATCTGTCCCTGGTTTCTTTCTGCTGCAAACCAGTGTCCAACATCTGCAGTTCCTCTTCAGATGACAAAGGGAACTGCTGACTTGATAGTCCGCAATCGAATTGATGCGGATGTTCGCGGTCACCGAACTTCGATAGTCAGTCAGTCAGTCAGTCAGCTACAACGTAGGACCAGGTACATATGTGCATCGGTCCAGGTTGCCATACCTCATTAGCACAGCAAGATGAACACCGGATTCATAGGAGTGGTTAGGTCAAAGGTTGCAATAAGGATATAGTATAGGAAGAAAGAATTAGTTCGTAGAAAGAAAGATATGAAGTGATTTTAATCTCTTAGTTTAAGGGAAGACAGGGAGTGTATACACCGACGCCATTGTGATCGATTCTGAGCCATGTCACCAAGAGTCTCCAACCATTGGTTACGAAAGTCACGCGGACCCCAACCAAGTAGTCTGCATCTACCGTCAACATGGCTCAGACTAGAAGTTAGTGACTTTGTGGACTGATGCCACGTTTTGGTTTGGCCGCCCCTAACTTTCTTCCAACCATCCCCTACCCCGGTTAGCATTGCACGTCGTGGTAATCGGTGTTCAGGCATACGTAATACGTGGCCCAACCATCTCAGTCGATGAAGATTCATAACCTCATCAACTGATTTACCATCATTCCCTAATACCCTGCGTCGAACCTCACTATTACTTACCCGGTGATCCCAGCAGATGCCAGCAATATTTCTAAGGCATCTGTGGTCAAATACTAATAGCTTACGGGTGTCTTCCACTCTTAAAGGCCATGTTTCGCTGCCGTAAAGTAAGACAGAACGGACTGCCGCGCAGTATACTCGTCCTTTTATTGATAGACGGATATCTCGCCTCCGCCAAAGGTGACGTAAGTTGGCAAAAGCCAAACGAGCTTTTCGAATCCGTGCTGAGATTTCGTCAGACACCAACCCATTAGGGCTGATCAGACTTCCAAGATAAGTGAAGTTGTCAACGCGTTCGACTACTTCACTCCCTATCCTTAGTTCAGGTGTTGACCCAGACCAGTCCTGAAGCAACAACTTGCATTTAGAGGGAGAAAAGTGCATCCCAAACATTCTGGCATTGTTGCTTAGTGCTACCAGAAGACTCTGCATTTTGTCAGCGTCTTCACCAAACAGGACTATGTCATCTGCGTATTCTAAGTCGATAAGTGGACCTCCTGGAAGGAGATCAATACCCGAGAATTCAGTCGACGAGAGTGTTATTTCCATCAATAGGTCTATGATGAAGTTAAACAAAAATGGGGAAAGTGGACAGCCTTGACGGACACCACTTGAAGTTGCAAAAGTAGATGACAGTTCGCCATAAGCTCTGACTCTACTAGTAGTGTTCGAGTAAAGAGCCTTCACAAGGTTTATGTACTTCTGAGGTACGCCTTTCAATGACAGACACTGCCACAGAGTCTCGCGGTCTACAGAATCAAATGCTGCTTTTAAGTCAAGAAAGACCACCATCGTCGGACGCCGATAGGTATGCCTGTGTTCTAGAACCTGACGAATGGTGAATATGTGGTCGATGCAGCCACGACCAGGTCTAAAGCCAGCTTGGTTCTCTCGAGTTTGTAGTTCACGAGTCTTAGTTAGGCGTTTGATAATTATCGAGGCCAGTATTTTAGATACTATATTTGTTAAACTAATCCCTCTGTGGTTGTCACAGGATGATTTTGACCCTTTCTTATATATTGGGACGATAAGTGATTGTGACCAGTTAGATGGAATAACGTCTAACTCCCAGATCTTAGCTAAAATATTAGTCAACCTAATCGCTAAAATTGGACCACCATCCTTAAAGACCTCTGGAGCCAATCCATCTGGACCAGCTGCCCTTCCTCGTTTCAGATTAACTATAGCCTTTTGAACTTCAGCAAGAGTTGGGGGACCTACTTCAATGTTCCATTCACACTGTCTGGGAATGGAGGGTAGTTGTAGAGTAGCTGAAGGCCAGCTGAACTGTTCTCTAAAATGTTCCGCCCATCGTTCTAAACGCCTGGACTGGGAGCAGATGAGAGTATCATCTTTTTCCGAAATAATCTCACTTACACTTGACTTATTAATTCCAGTTTCTTTTATTAGTCTGTAAAGCTGTCTTGTGTTCCCTATAGTCGCCGCCTTTTCCATCTCTTTTGCTTTCGTTACCCACCACTGCTCACGGTCGTTCCTTAGACTTTTTCTTAACCTAGATCTGATTTGTTTTCGCTCTTCATCATGTTCAGAACCTGATGGGACGAGTTTACGAGAATCCATCAGTGTGACAGACCTTGAAGAAATCCACTGGTTCCTTGCAACTCTGTGGTTTAAGTCACTAATAGATGTCACTGCTGTTTCCACAGCTGATTGTATGCCCTTCCAAGCAACATCTGGGTCAGCCTCGTCTTCACAACTACCTAAGTGTGACCTCAATTGTTCCTGGAACCTACTTTTGATTCTCTCGTTACTCAACTCAGTTCTGACGGGTCTTTTTAATGTGGCTTTTTTGCGTCCAGTGAGGCGCAAGCAGATGCGTGCCCGTATTAGGGCATGGTCGGAGTCCAAGCAGGTACTCCAGAATGAGCGACAATCTTCTACCGACCCTCTCCAACGATGACTGATGGCAATATGGTCTATTTGAGTCCATCGTTGGTTTGGTGTAGGGGGTCGCCATGTTAGACGATGTCTCTCCTTATGCTTAAAATTTGTGTTTGCTAAAAATAAACGATTGTCTGAGCATAGCTGCAGCAGACGATCACCATTATCTGTTCGCTGTGTCGGAACACTGAAATATCCACCTAAATGCCTTTCTGTTTGGTTTAAGCTACCTATCTGAGCATTAAAATCACCTGCTACGAGTACTATGTCTGAGCGTTTAGCTTTCTGAAGAAGTTCGGACAGCTTTCTGTAAAATTCATCTTTCACTTCATCTGAGCTGCAGTCAGTGGGAGCGTAGGCAGAAACGACAAAAAGGCAACGACGTGTGTCCCTATCCTTCCGAGTTCTTACGTAGCCGTTCAGCCGAACAGCACATAGACGACTGTTGACGGGGATCCACTCTAGCAGTGTTTGTTCCGCCCTCATGCTTAGTGCTATGCCTACACCTGCCAGTCCACGAGAACTGGCCATCGGGTCACGAGATACACGAAGGGTGTATCTTGTTGGCTCTCCGTTTTGCCGAGGTGAGGTCAAGTGAATAACCACACTGGAATCCTGTATGCGTGTTTCGGAGACACAGCATACATCAACGGAAAGAGACTCTAGGGTTTTAGCCAAGGAAGCCTGCTGACCGATTTGACATAGGGTTCGTATGTTGAAGGCTCCAATGTGTAGTTTGCAGCGAGGTTTCAATAGACCTGGGACAGTGTTTTGCGCACTAGAATCGTTGGCTATGGTGACACTTGAGGTGGAAGCCGAGAGAGGAAATTTAAAGTTGAAAGTCGATGTAGGAGGAATAATAGGAATTGAAGAGGGAGGTTGATTATGAATACAGTGGTCTTGGGTGCTGTTAGAGGTATGAGGGCGGTTATCACTTCCCGGTTGCCCACACCGTGGAAGTGTTGTTCTGGAGGTACCTGAAAAGGAAATTGGATTAAAGGTGGTCTCAGTGACCTGAGAGCGTGACCGCAGTGCCCAAGGGACAACTGCTTGAGGCCGGTCGCGCACGGCCTTTTCGTAGGAGGTTTTTGACGTGTTAGCTCCGTTCTTCAAAGGGCCTTACCGCCGGAGACGGAAATCCGTGAGGTAAGGTGAGGTGTGCATTTTTAGGGTCGACCTTTTCTAACCCCACCCCTCCTTGTGGGAAGGCAGCATCGCTGTCATGCTGGTTGTCTGAAGGAAACACCTTACTGCTGTCACACCTCTGTACAGTCAGCAGTACGACTTCGCCTTCGGACCTTGGGTTTGTTGCTTTTATTCTTACCGCTCTTCAACCGACCTGTCTGACATGGTAGGACCTTGAGGAACGGTTGTTCCAGCCAGTATAGCTCGGTTGCTTCATCACGATAGGCAAGCCCGACCACCACGTCAAGGTAGCAACAACGGTCGGGGAACTTCGATAGTAGCAGCTCCATATTTGCATTTAAGTCAGTAATAGCTGACGACATCTGCGGCACTGTATGCAACCTATCAAATCTGAAAAGCTTCACTTGATCGTACAGGTGACTTACTCGGCCGCTAAAGCACTGCCTACACGCTTAGATTCTGATGTTGACGGTGATGTATCTAACTGTGTCGAACTACTTAATTAACATCTAAATAGTAATGAAACGTACTTGGAAATCGGCGAGGTGACGCTGTCAAACAACCGAAATTTTGGATATTGTACGTGGCTATTTCCAGCCTGCATCTCGGCCACATCCGTGTTTACTGAATTGTAAGGAAACCCTTCTTTACGCTTCAGTGCACTTCTACGAAATGTTGGCAAGTTAATTGTACTGACCTCTTGGGCTTCTCAGTGTTCATTGGCAAGGTTTTTTCTTCCATTGAACTGATTTTACGGTAATGATCCAGTATTTGGAAGGAAACTGACATGTCCTTTGCAGACCATCTATAGTAAATTATAGTTTCTATGTTTGTTACTCACCGAATTCGTGAATGACTTTACATTTCAGAACTGACCAATTGTCATCTGGTCGGCCGCAGATTTGCAGCTGGATATCGACAAGCTCCGTTGGATAAAGGCAAAGTTCCTTGCCAACAATCCACTGCTTGGCTGCTATCATGAGGTGTTCCGTGCTAGATACGTCAACAATGACGTATTTTTTGTTAGCGGGCTAAGCATAACACAAGAGGTAATGAAATGGTTTATTATACATTCACATAAAATTATGAAACAATAACTAAATAATGGATACAATTAATGGCTATACATTTGCAGTCAATGTCCTTAACCGCTTCCCATGTGTGTTCATGGCTAACTACGACGCACATAAATATTCCTATATTACTGGATGGGAAAGGATTTTCGAAGTAATTGCGTGGGTTAGTGAAAGACCTAAATTTTAGTAGTCCGTTCTCCCCTATATCAGTGACTAAACCAGGCTTTCCGTTTACTACTACAACATTATCAGGCTTAAATGAAGTTATTTTACTATTCTTAAACATAATTACTTGTTTATTTGAGTCCTCGTTAGCGGCTATTGGGGTAGTATTAGTTAAACTGCTAACTTGAAGCCTATTGCAGAAGGACATTTTCTCCGCATAACACTGAGCTGCTTGCTTTGCAACAGCATACCCGCTATGCACAGATTTTTTGTCTCATATAAGACTCGAATAGAAAGGCTGAAAAACTATCTAAAGGTCCATGTGCATGAACACCCTCAGGAAGGTGCTGTAACAAATGAACGGACCCATAACACCATTCGTATTCTTTAAGAAAGTTCCCTAAATTCATTCTGACGGATTCTACAACGGTATTGTGTAATTTAGGATGTGCAGGCAGATAAACGGATAACGCTAAACGCTTGAAATTAAGATACATAGGTTGTGGCAATGTTTTCTGCAGAATAACTGGGCCTAATTATAGAAGAAACAACCTACGTTCCGAAGCTTTCCATACCGATACGACGTCTAGTATACGGAAAGCCTGATACTTTAGCGCGTTTCCCCTTTATTTCTCTTGTATTTTTCAATGCATTTTCCCTTTTGTTCGCCTTTATTTCCCCTTTGTTGGTTGATTGGGGAATTACTCTAGCACGAACGTTACCAGGTATGGATAATTACCGTGGATCGTTATTGATACGTTTTTATAGACATGTACATGCATCATGCAGACAGCTAAAGTTTGCAACACAACAAATGTTGTGTGAGGTAAAACTGTCATTTTTGATGTCTATTTTACTCTAAAGTCAGTACAAACAAACCACAGTGGGTTATGATCTTACAATCATCGCTTGTTATTGTTTAAATCCCTGTGAATAGGAATCGGTGTCCGAAACGTTCTGCCATTAATGTAATTGTTGTCGCTGCCTGTACGATATGTATGAAGACAGAATAAATTATGTATTTGGTGGTTGTATCTCAGAAATGCCGAGTAAAGTGCTGAGATCAACCAAAAATGGTTAAATCATTCTCCTTTGCTTTTCACCATTATATCATCCTCTCAAGGTAAAATAAAAGACGTGATACCATGAAAGACTCATTTGAATGAAATAAACAGCACTGGATGTGATATCGTGGTTTTTTTATATTTCACTGTGTACTGGTTTCTAGAAAAACCAAGTTCAAATTTACTATTGATCATTAAGGAACTCCTTCGTTCAATTAGATGAATAGCTTAAACTTCAGTCGAATATTGACTCTCTAGTGACAATAGTTTTTTATTTATTGTAATAGTCTAACATAACTGTTGCTTCACTAACTAAACCACAATTGTTAGCATTTCATTGCTAACATATTTAATACCAGGCAAACAAAATTATCACAAATGGACACAAAAAATTAACATTATGTTAATCGTGTGCTAAAAAAGGAACCAAGAAACTCGTTTGGGTCAACATATTCACCAGAGTAAACTTTTTGAAGTGTAAATATACTAAAAAAAGCCCCCAAATGCCCTGGTACGGTCGAGAGTGGGGAGAGTTCGCTCTCCTCGAAATGCTCTCACATGGCCACGTATATATAGCCTCTGCCAGGGAAGTCCTACTCATTGCTTTCTCGTGGCGGGGGTGTTGTTTACGAAATTGAAAGGACGAAAAGCGAATGTCCGGCGTTTTAACCGGGTTGGTGGACATGGAGAGTCCATCTAGGGGGAGTTGGAAAACCCTGATTCGGAAGCAATGGTGCACATGGGCTCCATTATTCTGAGGGAACGAATGGAATATGAACCAATCATTGGTCACCGACTATCATGGGACTGCATCTCCTGATGTTGCTCCACTGCCTTGTGGATCAGACCTTCAGGTCGAAAGCTCCGGGTGTGGCCCCTCAAGAAAAATAAACAGAATTCTATTGAGTCGATTTAAATATTAAAGTACCATTGGACTCATTAGCTGAGTGGATAACGCGATAGCGTTTAAACCGAATGGTACTGGGTTCGAGTCTCAGAGTGAACATCAACTCTGAGGTGCAGGTACATCCAGCTGACATGTCCCAAATAGAACGAAACGCGCGTCCTGGATTTCACTGCTAGCCACTATCCATCTTTGCTTATAGTACCATTGTACGTTTAAAAAATACAGACATGAACTTTTAATTTGTGTATATACTAATCACAATCAAATTTCTCTTTACCTAAATTCATTTTAGAGTTATCTGTTTATGGTTCAAAGTTTGTATTTATAATACTCAAGAAGGTCTATTTAAAACAAACGTATTATTTCTACCTTGGTATCATGACTAATAAGGTAGGTTCTTGATTAATGTTAACTAGTTCAATGAGCTATTACCATTCGATTCTCGTCAAATAATATGTGAGTTAAAAGAATATAATATTCAATTGAAATTATTATTTTTACAATTAAATGGTTGTCTGTTCGTTTGGTTAGGTAATGAAGAGAGCAAATTGTCCGGTAAATCATAAATTCTCTCTACTGATATATCTTAATAATTATTCTCTATATAGGTTTATCTGTATGTTTGCCTTCACAAATATCAACATTTGATCAACATAGTGCTACAATCTATTCAGTAACTGGTGCTTCACGAAATCCATTTAGTGAATATGAAGAAAATTTATCATGTAAAATATCTAAACGTTTTCATTGTCCTGTATTTGTTAGTATTAGTTTACCGCATGAATTTGCTCCTTTATGGAATCATTTCAATGTAATCACACAAAGTACACTTGGTCAAAAAGCAGAACATTGTATATTTGAAAATCTTTCCACTATTTTACTTTCATGATCACTTATGTTCTTTGGTCATGTATATCTATGACAAGTTATGTATGTATTCATTTGTATTTACTGTTCATATGTTGCATTTTGAATTTTTTACTCTGTGTTATACGATAATAAGATTAGATTGGCACTGTTTAGTTGCTTAGTTCGGCTTTCAATCAGTTGGTCACAGGTTCGAGACCCACTGTGCTATGATTTAAGCATCAGTCAGATGTGGAAGGTGGAACGTAACTACATCGGCCCATACATTTACATCATATCGCTTCACAGTGGGATGTAATTGTTACGTTGAATACCGAAGTAGTATTAAAAAGTGACTACGCATTAAAAAATATGATTTTCAAGTAAAGAGTTAATTTGTGGAGTGAAAGGTATGAAGTAACTTTCAAACTGTAGACCTACGGTTACATAGAGAATAAATTGATGTATGACATTCCGACTGGTTCTGAACTATGTCACTTAATATCTCCAACCATTCGTCATGTTAATCTCGTAAATGTTAATCTCCATCTACCAAGTTGCCTCATATCAACAGTTGGTGACTCCATAGACTGATTACACGTTTTGGCATGACCACTCCTAGCTTTCTTCCAATCTATACTACCTCAGATAACATTGTACGTCAAGGTAGCTGGTGACAAAAGCATACTTGAGACGTCAGAACCGTCTCAGTCAATAAAGACTCACATTTTCATCAACCAGTTTTCTATCTGTGTCTGACACTCTGGATATAACCTGAACACCATTCACTCAGGTGTCCTAAAATATGCGAGTAATGCTCCGGCGACATGTACAGTCAAATACTTGTAGCCTACGAATGTCTACTACTTTTAAAGGGTAGTTTTCATAGCAATAGACTAAAATAGTTAACTTCTGCACAATGTACTTACCTCTTCATTGAAAAATGTACATCTTGGCTACGCCTCAGGTGACACAAGTCGTCAAAAGCTAACATAATTTTTTCTAGCCTATTCCGGGATGTTGTCGGGACTCAGTTCACTACAGGTGATCAGACTCTGGAGATAAGTGAGGTGATTGATACACTCAATTGCTCCGACCTGGGCATCAAATTACTATCTCTGCCCCTCAGACACATGCAATAAATATGATTGAAAGCCATATATGCGAAATCGATACACAGTAACTGGTTAACATTAGTTTATTTATTAAGTATTTACAGATCTACAAAGTATGGGGCTCGGTTAAATGCATGTTGAAGCAGGAATTCAGCCTTCAATATAAAAAACAACTATAATTGTTTTTATTACATTTAATTTTGGCTATCCTACGTTCATTTTGATTTTTGTAGAGTTTTAGGGTTTGTTTAATTAGGTTGAGCAGAATTTTCGGGTTTGAGTAAGGTTATGAATAGTTACATGGAGTTCTGACACATGCATAAAGGTTAAACATGCACATCATTGGATATCGGCTTTAAATGCCCCTTATCTGACTCCGATTAGGTCGTATGTATGATTGTTATTGAGGTATACATGTCCAAATATATACCCTGGCTATCCTGGTATATAATTATCTACTTAATCCGCGTTAATGAATAACGGAATTAAAATAAGTCAAATACGAGAAAGGATTTCGAATACGTGTATTTTGTACAATCTTTAATTCAAACAAACGAGCGAAGGAACGAAGCGAAATAAAATGATGCGCGGTGGAGAAGGCATGTGAGCCAATTCGATTTAACCAAGTATTAATCAATATTTATAATCAAACAAAAAATAAGCTACAAATATGTGATGAGTAGGATAAGATGTACACACACACATACGCTCATATATAAAGTCACAGTTGATAAGTGGATGGTTTTATATCAGAACGGGTTTTTGTGGATATTATAGTAATTTCAATGATTGAGTTCATGAGTCAATTGAAGCTAGACCACCATTGTAAACCTGTAAGGATTGGATGGCCGCTTCGTCCTATTGTGAGACTCTTTAGCAGTACATACCAACGATTCCTCTCACGAGATCCGAACCCAGAACCTGTCGATCGCGAACGCTGAACCAAAGTCAAAACGTAACTCAAAAAGAATGGGTAAGTTGGCCTGTCCAAAAGGTAGAATAAGTTATATGGGTTTAACATAGTAACCGACACTATACGGCTAAGCGGTCTAGTGATTAGGCGTTCTTAAGCGAAACCGAAGGTCTTGTGTTCGATCCCCTACTGTGGGGTCTTGAACATGTCGAACTAACATTATTTTCACTGGTTGTTCAGTTAAAATTCCTATCATGTTTACACAACTATCAACATATATATGTATAAGTTGAATGAATTTATCTCTTAGATAATAAACTGTTTAAATTCACACATCTGTTACCTCTATAAATTCTTTATGATCGTTTTACATACCACAGATTATTTCTCTTTTAGTTTATGTTAACCTGTACAACAACAATCCCTTAAATTTCTCCTAATGATTTGAAAAAAAATAAAGAAACTTCCTTCTTTTCAAGAATCCAGTTAATGAAGTTAGCCAAGTTAATTATCATATTTGGAATAAGAATAGAATATTTCAAATTGATTTGAAAGATTCCTAGAAACAAAGTTGGTTTCTTTATATTTAAAAAGCAGTTAGTTATATAATATACCCTTATGGGCCAGGGTAATTTTACATTGGTTTTCAGGAGATTCAGACTTTCACATGATAACCTGAGCAGTACAACTCAATCCCGCTTCATAGGAGAACCGGACACTATATAAGCTTTAACGCTACAATCTGAATAGTACAGCTTAATCCTGTGACGCAATCACACAGTTAACAAGCACCCCGGTGAACCAATATTCGAAAAGTACATGTTTTAATTAATATGTTATCAGGATAGAATCTTGAGAATTAGATACTTCGTACAAGTTCATATTGGATTATATCGATTCGTTCATTTTCAATCAATCAACGTTAACAGAAGAATCAAGAAGATACTAGAGACTTTTCATGTGAATTTTATACCAACTCTCATGTTTTTTTTTGTTTTTTTGTTGCTAAGATATCTCCAATGGTTTCAGATTATCTGGGTATATCATCTTCAACTTATTCTTTTTCTAGTTGTCAAGCAATGTTGAACAATGAGAAGTTTACTTATTGTATTTTTTAAGAAATATAATTTGTTTATATAAAGAGAAAATTAAACTAAAACATACGATAAACTTATGAAGTCATCAATTACTGGGTTGAACGATTTCAAACGCATATTTGGGATATACAGGATAATTGTAATCTATAGTTGGAGATCTTTGACGGTATACGGCTCCAAGGTTGATCTGATATATATATATATATACTTACGCCTGTTACTCTTAGTGGAGCATAGGCCGCCGACCAGCATTCTCCAACCCACTCTGTCCTGGGCTTTCTTTTCTAATTCCATCCAATTCTTGTTCATTTTTCTCATGCCTATCTCCATTTCCCGGCGTAATGTGTTCTTTGGTCTTCTCCTTTGACCTTTAGGATTCCATGTGAGGGCTTGTCTTGTGACGTGGTTGGGTCCTTTTCTCAATATGTGTCCTATCCACTTCCAGCACTTCTTCCTGATTTCTTCCTCCGCTGGGATCTGGTTTGTTCTTTCCCACAGTAGGTTGTTGCTAATAGTGTCTGGCCAATGGATCCGAAGTATTTTGCGTATATATATATTCATTCATTCTATGTCTTCTACATTATTTCCTATTTCTTTCGATTTCATTTATTCTTTTCCAAATAAATTCTAGATTGTTCGACATCTTGGATTCCACTGTTAATCATTGGCCAAATCTACATAAAGATGTTTGTCACTTTTAAAGACAATCCGTTCAGAATTCACATTTACTAAAAAAACAAGACTGAATAGTTATAATCTTGAATATTAACAATGGGTGCATTGAAATTCTTACAACTAAATTATATTCTAAATGTTTACTGTCATTGGATTCAACATATTGGATGATCTGTCTGAGAATCAGTTCATGATCTCGATCAAAAACTTAATAATCTCCACAACCCCTATACTAGTAATCAACATGTGCTCACTAGTGACTAGCTTCGTGAAGGAATTCTAGGAGTTCTAATGAGAAGCCATGACCAGTGGAGCTAATCCATGTCGGGTAGAGACAGGTATCTACCTCAGTACAATGGAAGATGGTCGCGCAATTTCGTAAATTGGTTGAGGTTAGACACTAACATCATTGGATGCCAGCTCAGTGGTTCAGGAGGTAAAGCATTCGCGCGTGAGACTGAAGGCCCTGGGTTCGAATCCCTTCGGTGAGGGATCGTTGATGCGCACTTCCGAGGAGTCCCACAATAGGACGAAATGGCCGTCCAGTGCTTCTAGGTTTCCAATGGTGATCTAACATCAATTGGTTCATGATCTCAATCAAAAACTTAATAATCTCCACAACCCCTATACTTATAATAATATGGTTGCATTCATTCTTTGTCTTCCCTTAAATTCATAGTTTCACAATTATCTTGGAATTAATTTACGGAATAAAAATGTATTTCTTTTGAAGTCATACTGTAGTGAACAAGAATAATAGTGAGCATAATCGAATGTATTTGGATACAAAATTACAGAATATCTTAGTAAAATCTGTGAACCATACAGGAAATAATTCATTTGTAAAATGTCAATCAATTATCTCAGACTTGACTGTTCTTTCTGTAAATGTCAATCAATCGTCTGAAATTTCATTGTTCTTTTTGTTTCTACGCCAATCATTCTTTGTTCTTTTTAATCTTCTGCCTCCAGACATTTCACTTTCGACTAACGATACTGTTGGGCTAATCCAGAAAACTTCTCGCAAAAGCTAAGAAAAGCTCAGCAAATACTAAGAAGCATTTTATCCAACCAGCGTTCACTACAAGTTTAGCCAGAGACATCAAGAAAGTGAAAAGTCACATGTAGAGTTTCTGATTAGCTGATTGCTATATTGCTACTATGTTTACTAGCACTCCAGAGTTTTCGGGAAACACAAGGACACCTAAAATACTATAAAAACCTTATATTTTCTGTACTAAGA